TTCATCCCATAACTTATATGGAATAGAATAGCAAGCCAAACTGTGGGCCGAGAAAATTAACTACCTATGTTGTTTTCAAATAATCAAATCATATTGTTGTCATTGCAACAAGGCCAGAGCATCACCGGGTTTTCAATAAGTATGCAGACAAGTTTTAAAAACTTAAAGTAAAAAGGATGGAGAAAATGAAACAAAATAATGGAAAACGAAGAAAATCTAAAAGGCATGTCCATAGTTGGTCAAGTACGTAATCTCCCCCCCTTCCCCACTTAGATTCTTATCTATCATCATACATAATATGTCAAGCATAAGAGACTCCTCCCCAAACCACATACCATGACAAAATAAATTTCCAACCCCATCTCCCATCTCCATCTCCTGTATGTCCAACAAACCATCTCAATTCTTCATTTCATGTCCTTGTATGTGCACTAGTAGCATTTATAACACATGAAAACACCTTTCATTCATACTCTCAACATGTAATAAGTGGTAAATGAGCTGATCAAGCTTATTAGAACCTCCATCCTTCCCTCTTGAAAAGAAATAAAGAAGTAATATTGAATGTCAGTACTTACAGAATCACCTCCCTTGGTTGGAGCGCAGAACTTAATAGGAGGTACAAGAAGTATCTTTAAGAAGAACATAGAGCAACCCACTTTCTTCCAAATCCCTGCTGCTGGAGATCACCGATCAATGAGCAAAGTTCAACCCCATTTTCCCACAAAAGTTTTGTAAATTTTTTAACCTATGACAAAACAAGAATTCTAAAATGAATAGTCTACTCAAAATGACAGAAGACAAAGGCAACCATGGAAACAATGCCAAAAACATTGGCATAACTAAGAATCATACCTCTGATGGCAAAAGAGGTTCCAAAAACAAATTCTTCTGCTTCATGAACTCAAGAGACACTTGTGCCTTCTTTTTACGAGCTTTTTCACCATATCTTCAGCTCCTAGGAAGCCAGTTTCAAGAGTATTAATTTCAACTCTATGAATTGCATTTTCAGATTTAGATGCATCATTGACGTCTTCTATCCCAGATCTGGCTTCACCAGAAAAACTGTCAGACATTTTGCACCCTCTAATAACATTTTCCCTCATTTAGGCATCCGACGTGCCACTCTGCAGTTAGAAACCAAGACATTTAAGAATTGAACCATTAAAGCCCAGAAGTTCTCCAAGTTGGAAAAGAAGATTACCATAACTAACTTAATTACAGAAATTAATGAAAACATCATTGAATCACTATACACATTCATCCAAATGGACAAAAAAATCACTGAAAACTCCAAGGACCAAATGGAATATTTATAGGCATGAGATTCCAAGAATACTTAAACAAATCAAGGAAATTAGAACATAAAGAAAAAATAAATAAGTAAATACATCATATACACATGCATGTCATGGGGTATGGTCCCCACATGTTAGGAAATGACTTAGTTTCTTATTGTTTTTGTTATATATCCTTCTGGTAAGCTATGCAAACAGCAATGCATGAGGCATTTTTAGGTCTCTTCTGAAGGCCATCTACATAATTTAGTTATTAACTTAATTCATTGATCATGTATAATGTAAAAAGAAAATGGAAAATATAAACATTTCAACAACTAAATGGACAATTATCTTTTTCAGATTATCAATTGTCTAATGCATTAAACATTTTTTACGTCAGGATATCAGTTTGAAACTGTAGGGGAATGATAATGAAACAGTCTCTGCATCAGCAATTGTTGAAAGGCTGGTTCTTACCCTCCACCCCAAATGTTATCCTTTTTCCAATAGGTCATTTCAAATAAAGTGTTTAGAATCTAAAATTACAGCCACCTATGACATGACGGATAAAAGCTATTAAAACAACTATTAAACGGATCGCATGGTATAACTAAATAGGATAGGAATTTGAAAAGAAGAAAAAAAGAAGGGAAAGAAGAGATATACCATGTGAAACCAACCAAAAGTGGGCTTGGAGATAGTAGGATTTTTGGCATTACAGTTCTTGCACTTTTTGTATTTCAGTTTCAGAAAGTTATTTAAAACTGATTTTGCTTCAGCAAGCTGAAGAGACGTCCATTCCTTTGGGTTAACAGCCTTAGAATCATGTACCATATAATCTAATTCTTGGCTCCATTCACTATACTTTGGATAGGATGATGCATCTCTGGAATCTGAATCTAACCTTTTGGCACCAACAATATCACCTTTTCTAATGAGTTTCAATTGAGAAATGCATCTCTCAACCTTAAATTAATTTAAACCCAAAAAAAAAAAGGATATTAGAGAAGTAAACAAAAAAAATAATCCAAGATAAAAACATTGAAAAATAATTTACCTCAGTTCTGTCTGCCCTCAAATGATAACAAAAGAAACAGGTCCTTTGAACAAGGTTATGAAGAAAATTGAACAGCAAGGGATTACAAATCGGAGACACAAAGTCAATGTGACCACAGTGACCAGGGCAATGCAATTTTAAGAGGGCGCAGCTTTTACAACTGCAATAAAAGTCAAAATAATGTAACTATATATCAAAAACACATGTTTTTATCTATTCTATTGTTCACTAATTATATGTTTGGTATACAAGATTATGATAGGAGAGGATAAGATAATATTATGAATAGAATTAGATTAAATAATGCAATTTTATCTTATGTTTGATGTGTGTAAGGATCAAGATAGGGTAATTTATTTATTGGTCAAAATTATCCTTCCTCAAGATTTATATAATTTAAATTATTGATGTAATTTTTAAGGGTATAATAAGACATGTAAATTTAATCCTATGGATTAAAAATAATCCCCTACTTTTCCAAATGATAGAGTTATCCTATTGGCATAAGATATTTAATCCTTTTAATAATCAAATCCTTTTATTTAAGTGCATAACAAACATGTGATAGGATGATTAGTATCCTATCTTTCAACTAATCCTATGTGCCAAACGTAGCCTAAATTCTTTTAAGCAGCATTAAGTTTTACAGCAGCGTATGTAAAATGCAAAAAATATTTTTTAGGAATTAAAAATGAAAATAAAATGCATAATTTGGCATTTGTAAAGAATAATTATGCTAGAATTGGTGTTAAGATTATACAAATTTTACAATTTCTTCATCTTTTTTCTTTTTTAATCAATTAAGATTTTGTTGCCAATGATATGGTTTCTCTTTATAGCAACTTTTTACGAGGCAAAGAAATACGTAGCAGAAAGCCAGAAAGGAAAAGTTTAATAAGAGCATACGGAGTCCGATCCTCAAGAGCCCTAAAACGGGATCGTATAATCCACCAGGCATCCATGAAGTCAAGCAAATTGGCGTTGGTGACTTTCAGCTGTCATGAGATTAAACCACAACGCCTCCACCAAATCCATCGCCCCCTACAAAATTCAAAAAAAAAAAAGTTCCAACTCGAAAAGACTTCAAAATTTTAGGTTAAAAAATAATACTTAAATAAAAAAAGTAAAGGAAATTTTATTTACTAACAAAATTTTGAAGAATAAAAAATCAGTGGAGGAGAGAGAGACCTCCGTGACTTGGGCCATGGTGGCAGTTGGCATGAAAATGAAATAGAGAACTTAGGTTGGAGATAATGAAGTGACTGGCGGTGATGAAGAATTGACAGTAGTCTGCCGCAAAGAGAGTTAAGAGTAGGGGTTTTGTTGGGGTTTAAGAGGGGCTGGGCTGGCTGTGTCTTCTGCTCTTCCTTTTAAGAATGACTTATTATTATTTATCAATATATTATTTTTGCATGCAAAACTCTTAAAGTGTGACAATTGATATGTTGAGTCGATTATTTTTACAACGTTACCTATTTCTGTTTTTTTCTATTAAATCTGACACTATTTTTTGATATTCTTCAGCTTAAAATAATGAATCGCATTTATAGATCTTTTTTTATTAAATTTGACATTATTCTTCGGTATTCCTCAACTCAAAACAATAAATCCCATTTATTAAACATAAAATTCTAGCCTTCAATGCAAGACATCATTTGGATTACAAGAAAAATTTCCTCATTTTCTATCACTCGAAAAATCTCTCCTGCTGTTGAAATTGAAAATTTTAGAGAAAAAAATAAAATTAATCTAAAAAAAAATGAATTTGACGTTTTTTCATCAAAGAAAAGCTTTATAAGAGTACCAAAAAATATTAAAGAAATCTTTTCGATCTCATTTACGACTAAAGTTTCACCATATATTAAGTAAGATGTTTGTGAATTTTTTCGCTTATTTTAACAAATATGAATACACTTATTATTTAATTAAATATTTAATTTTTGGCGATAAAAAGCAATACATGAATGTACATAGATAATTTATAAAAACAATTGTTTGATTAATATGAGTTGAGTTGTTTTTAGCAATTTATTTTAATTAATTTTGTTATATTTACCTTACTAATATTGTTTTTTTATTACAATTGCAAAAATTATAAGATTAAATTGTTGAAACCATAATTTTTTTTTATCATAGCAAATTTGGATAATTTAATAATAGATATATCTTTTTTGTTTTTAATAATAAATTACTTTAGTTTATTATTAAATACAAACGTATTATAATATTAAATTATATCAATTTTTACTCGCTATATTTCTTATTTGAAAATAATATATATTATATAAATTTATAAATTATAAATAACTTTTTCAAATATATTTATTTTATTTAAATTTATTAATAAATATTATAAAATATGACATTAGTTGTTATTATTAACATATAGTGTTGCCATCAAACTCCAACGAAAATAAGCCTAGTAGAGGAGCACTCTACCTACCTGTTGTGCAGGATGGGTCGGGTTGCCTTTAGGCCCAGAGATCTGCTGCTGAGGCCGGGTATAGGATGGGCTCAAATGGTCTAAGACAAGCTCCCTTAATCCAACAACCCATAAGTTTCAAAATTAAAGCTTAAGCTTTCACTTATCAGATTAATTTTTTTTTTAAAGAAAATTTATGTAAACTACAGTAAAATTTATAAATCTATCACTCGTTCTTTAGTTAATAATAGAAAATATTTTTTTAATAAAAAGGATTAACTGTTGGATGAAGTGGAAGCACTGCAAGTTCAAAACACCCAGCTTTGTGTCTGACTTATGACCTTTTCTGCAAATAGATAGAAATATAAAGTGTGAATTTGAAATTCAAAAAATTGTTTCAGCCAGCAGTAAGCATGGATTTCAGGAACAATGAACGAAAGCTCAGTGAAATAAGGCATGAGAATATAGTTTTAAAAACATTTCAACAACCCAAAAGCTTCTGTATCAGCGAAAGAGATGGATGCCTAATAATGTAAAGCATTGCTGCTACAGCCATTTTAACTGTCTATACAAAATTACCCTAATTTACCAGAAAAAACAAAGAATTGACAATATATGCAAAATTGTGTCATCTGGTGACCAAAAGACCTGATTTGAAACAAGTCTAAAATGGAAACAGACTCTGATGTATTCATGTAAGTGAAAGTGATACAGACACTAAGTTTATGAAAATATGACTGCAGATGAGGTTCCAGCGGAATGGATATCTTGGGAGGAAGCTTTAATCTACAGCTGTTTGTCCCGTTTTGCCTCTGAAGTCTCCCTGTCATTCTTGGGCTTCACTGGTGCAACCTTGGCAGGTGTTGAGCGCTCTGACTGAGTGAAGAGAATCAAGATGTGCATGAGGATGGTAACGATGGCCAAGACAAATGCTGACAATGCAATCCCTTTCCATGAGGATAAAAGGGAAGACCATTGCAGAAACTTGAGAGCTCCATAAGCCACAAGGCATGCCCAAGAAGTAACAACCTGATCCAAGAATAAGAATATTGTTAATAATATTAGTTCCAGAAGAAACTCTTACAACACCAAAAAAAAAGATAACACCACACCAATTCAAGATAATCAAAATGAAGATTGGTTAATTTTACAGAAAGAATCTCACCAGAAGAGACTTAATCGGCCGACCGATATCCTGTGATGGTTGGTCACTGAAAGTGTCCCCAGCAATATGTTTGTCCAACAAATTGTCCTATATGAGAAATCAAACAGAAACAAAACCATGAGTAGGAAACTATGCCTGAACTACTGATGCACAAGAATAAACATCATTAAACATAAAAAGACAAAGATGCACAGCTTTGTCAAGGTTACAACAATCATTCTTTTCCTTAGCACAAGATTATTTCAGACATGCATGCAAGACCACCTAGAACAGCACCTTGCTACAACACTAGATGAATAATACTCACCTTCTCCACAAACAGATCTTTACACCATTGTGCAACAGCCTCATCCGTTTCAGGAAGTTCCTTCATGAGATGCCGCTTGATGTGTAGTTGCACCTGCAAGCAAGCAACATTATATCTTTATCAATAGAATGAACCCAACAGAACTGCACATCATTCAATTATCAACTAAGATATTTAAGATAAATGACATTTGTAGGTTTAATCATCACAACTTCAAAATGACATAAGTTTCAACCATAGGAAGAAGAGGAAGGGCAAATACTTTTGCAGCATGAACAACAACAACACACTAAGCCTTATATCCCATACTCTGGGGTCGGCTATATGGAAAACCAAATAAGATAATCAAGTTAGGTTGTAGTTTGAATCTTCTGAATCTTCTTGCGCTACTCATTTCTATCAACCACCACCTTTTCATCTAATTCCTTAACCATCATATCGTTTTTTATTACTTGCACCCATATCTTTCACGGTCTACCTATAGAGATGTTTTGATTTCTCCTAGATCCAAAGACTCAATTCTCCTAAGCGGTGCATAGCTAGGCCTACGTTTCACATGTCCAAACCATCGCAAATGGCCCTCTCTCATCTTCTCTTCAATTCGGACTACCCCTAATTTTTCTCAAATCCCTTCATTTTTTATTTTGTCTCTTCTAGTCTTATCACACATCCATCTAAGCATCCTCATCTCCGCTACATTCATTTTCTTCTCATGTTGTTTCTTAACAGCCCAACACTAAGCTCCATATAGTAATGCAGGCCTTACAGTTGTTTTATACAACTTCGCTTTTAATTTTAAAGGCAATCACACAACACACCTGACGCACTTCACCACCTTGCCCATCCTGCTTGAATCCTATGTTTGACATCTGCTTCTATTTCAATATTACTCTAAATAATTGATCCCAAATATTGAAACTAGCTACTCTTTGGTACTCCCTCACATTCAACTTAATCACACTAGTACACACTTCCTTGTGACTACTAAACTCACATTCCATATATTCAATTTTAGATATAATCAATTTAAAACCTCAAGACTCCATTGTACTCCTCCATAACTCCAATTTCGTATTTAGGACATCACAAGTTTCAGCAACTAAGACTATATCGTCGGCAAATTACATACACTATGGCACCTTATCTTGAATACATCCAGTAAGCTTGTCTATAACTAATGCAAAAAGGAAAGGACTTAGTGCTGAGCATGAACCTAAGACTATATTTCACTGAGGTGCTTCACTTCAATGTAGCAACTCAATCAATTCAAATTAACATAAAGTAACCGAAAGTAGTTAATGACTCCTGACATGCCAATGACCAACAAACTTGTTGGCTTTCACTCCAAGGATTCTAAAAGATCAGAAAAAAAAAAAAGTGAACAAATTATGAAGCATGCCCTTTATTTTGAGTTGTCATTCACTCATTATACATATTTGACAGCATGTTATGCCTTTAAATTCAGAATGAATTTCATGATAATGGAGTATTTAGAAATGAAATCCTCTAGGAGACGTGGAGAAAATTCTCCAAGGACATCAATATGAAATAAAGTGCAAGCAATGTTAACATTCAAATCGACACATAATTATGCAAAGATATTTAACTTGCTTTACACAGTTTGCTTGAAATCTGCCTTACCACAGAAGATTGCCCCTTGAAAAGTCTAAGCATTGTAGGTGAAGGTGAGCTTTTTGGAATAGCCACTGTCATATCATAAATGGCTGGGACAAAAGAACGCATATGACTTACAGCTGAAACAAAACCCTGAAGCAACAGAAATTATGTTGATATTTCAGGCATATATTTTTCATATAGAACTACAATTAACAAGGTCTATAAGATGAGTGGCCATGAACAAAATAAAGACCTTCAGTTTCACAAAGGGGAGAAGTAACACTACATGCAACATGATCAACTCTCAACTATAGGACTGGGTACATATTTTAAGGTGCACAGATGTATCACGGCATTGAATAACTTTGCAAAAGCAGCAAGAAACTTGCATTGACTAGTAGAAAGTTTTGGCAGCAAAATCTACCTAGATATAAACAGAATGATACAAGGTAAGAGAAATATTATCTCTTACACTGAAATAATGCTATCAACTTGTGTACCAAAATAAAAGTCAGGTACCTAAATAAAAGGTGACAAGGAATTCAAGAAAATGAGAGCAGCAAGAATCTGACCTTTGTTCGAGGAATTAAAACATTTCTAGGTATAGGCAATCCTTGTGAGGTTGCATATTTTTGAGCTGCTAGAAGCTTTGCTTCTGTAAAGCGAGTTCCTTCTACAAAAAGCGCCAGCCAAAAGGGCTGAGGGAAGTCCTTTAAACGTTGAAGACTTGCCTGCAAATATAATTCCACAAGATCTGAACAAAATCAATGAGTGTAGTTCAAAAACAAGCATGCACAAGCACACTAGTAAATAAAGCAACATATAAGGACATGTATATGTGTAACATATAAAGAGAATATGTAATTCTTGATACACATGCATCTACAAAATTAAAAGCAAATTTTTACCTTTAACGTGTTTTCATCCTTGGCCCAGCTCCGTTCCAAAAATAGATACTCAGAAAACCACATTGACCAACCTATGACCTGCAAATATCAGACATTAATTTCATTCTACTAAAGTAAAGCAAAGTAAAACCATGTTTACTTCTCTAATAAACAATTTAAAAAAATGACAATCACAAGTATGCAGTAAAAACAAAACATAGTGAGCTGCCCAGATGGCAAGTAAGGCACAGAACTAAAATTCAATCACTTCATTGCAACAACTACCATGAGAAAGACTGACACTTAACTTTCATTATGAAATACAAAATTAACTGTACCAGAAACATAATAGCATTTGTTTCATGATGTTCTAGTTCAGGTAAAAAAGATAAACTACTACTTCAACAGGAGACCTCCTTCTAAATGGTCCAGATTAACTTCATGAGTAAACATGACATCTTCATGAGAAATATTAAGACCGTCTCTCCTTACTTAGACAGGCTTACTTCACACACCATATGCAAGCCAAACTTTGAACTCAGACTAAGAACACAAGAGATCTTCAAATGAATAATCCAAACCCAGTTTTACAAGTAGAAGCTAATGTAATATAATAAACTTGTGGAATTTGACCAGATTGTCCCAATCGCCATCTTAATTTTCTTTTTCTTTTTTTCAAAAAAAAAAAAAACAGCATTTATGCTTACTACCTGCTCATTAACTTATCTCATTAATTAAATACTTAGCTAATCACATCTCACACATTTACATACATGAACATGTGTACTGGAACATATGCAAATGCATATGAAAAAACCATGTACATGGCATGGTAATAAATACTAAATATAAATATCGGCTGAAACTAAAAGAAGTGGTTATGAAACACACCTCACTATTGAAAGTTGAAACTTCAAACATACAACACCAAAACATACCGGAAGGAATTTTGATGATTTCTTCATTATACCTAATGAATTGCCAAGACAACCTGATCGCTGTCAAAAGCAAATTCAATTGTATCTTAGTCACAGCATTTTAAGAGAGAAAAAAATATGAAGTTAGATTGCCAAATAGCAAATTTCCAAACAGTGAAAAAATATTTTTGTGAATGCACATCTCAACTAAACAGTATGTAAAAAGTTCTGAGTTGGAATAAATTAATTACGGACCTGAGCCAAAACCCATCCAACTAACCAATCAATATCACTTCTGTGATTGGCTATGACAAGGGCATGTTCCTTACCTGAAAATTTTTACAATATCAGATGATCGGTAAACCATTCATAAAATCTTATGAAGAACGATACCAATTATCCATGTAACACAAAGACTGGAAACAAAGTTTCTTAGTAGAGGAGATTGATGTTACCCATTAAATTGAAGCTTTCATGATCTGCAAACACCTTAATCTGCAGATAAAATGTCTCAAAGATCAAAAGCTAATTTTTAGGAGACTAATTAAGGTATGACATCCATGGCACCAATTCTTTTTCTACACTAATAGAACTAACAGCCAATAATTAAGTCCTCAATCAATATCTAGGAACATCTATCAGCCCTCAGAGAAGATAGAAAACTTCAAAAAATAGTTCAAGTCATATTTGCATAATTATCTAGATGAATTAAAAATACCCAATCTTTAAGCCTATGGACACCAAAGCTCCCACTAGGACAAAATGCTTTCATCTAACCAAAGCCTACCGGCAAATGGAATTAGCCGGTCACTGGAGGCATGTAAAATTTGACACTGCACAACAATTTCATTTTCTAATACCTTTGTCCAAGAAACATCCTATCTCAAGTTGAGATTGCAAAATTTCCGTTCATATTCATTGACTAAGAATACTGCCATATTAAGAATCACAAAGAAGTCAGTGAAAACCTTTGAGTGGGATCTATATCTCAGTGATTAGTAGGTAAAGAATATTTTTTGAGACTCACTGTTTACAAGTATAGTTGGAAATAGAAGTATAAAGCATTTAGACATTCAATCATCATAAACTGCCGTCTCAGAAAGGGTTTCAGCATGAGAGTCAGAGTATACCTTAGTCAGGATTTCAACATTATAGGATACTATCCAAAAAGCCCAAAAAAGTAATAATCAGTGATTAAAAACGTAAGATTTTAAACAACGAAATAAAGGAGCTCATTAACACCTTAACTCCCGCCCACCAATCAACAAGCCATATTAGTTCCAGCCACAACAACTCTGCCACCACCTTATTGATTTTTCTATAATTGCTCTTGGAGAGTGGCCGGATGAGAACAAAACATACTGCCTGAAAAAAAGCAGCACATCGAATAACATGAAAATTGGCTATTGACAAAGGGATCGAAGAAAATAAGATTTACACATCAGCCAACTTAATCAAACTGAAACAATTTGTCTAACATGGTAAATTCTGATTACTGTAGAAACAAAGGCAACAAAAATACTCTTAAGTCCCATTTTTAGCATTAAAATGGTATCGCGAAAAAAAAAAATGTAAGCAAACATGGCAACAAAAGCAGAAGGTTGCATCAAGCTGAAACCAAGGATCTCAATTTAATTTTCTTTTTCCTAAATTTTATCAGCTAACAAGTAAAGTAGATCAAAACCCAGATGAAAATAAAAGCTCGTTAATAATCTCAGCTCAAAAAAATTAAAAAAAAAAAAAAAGAGACACAGAGAAACCCATTTACCACCGTTTTCTTTCAATGCAACCACAACAAATTTGAAAAGAAAAATAGAAACCCGGAAAGCAAAAATTACCAAAGAAAAGAAAATACACACTGAATCAATCAAATCAATAGAGAAAGCAAATCCCTTAAGAAGTTAAAACAAAACCAAAAGTATAAAAGAAAAACCCAAAAAGGAACCTGTATGAGATTGACAACGAGGCCAGAGATGAAGAAGAGAAGGCCCAGTGGGACGATGACAGCGGCTGCTGCAATCGCCATGGACACCACCACCACTGAAGCGCTCGAGATTCGCAGAAAAAGATGGGTTTGTAGTGAGATCTTAGATTTATTTATAAAAAAGAGGAGATTCCTTTCCTTTTCCTTTTTAGTTTTGTGAGTGTTGGAATTTGTGTTAATTTGGGATATTCAGACGTTCAAGATTGTTTATATCAACGAGAAAAAAAAAATGGATTAATAGTGTCGGGAACGTGTGTGAAGCGATAAAAGCATAGAAAATGTCAAGACGGATAAAACGACGAAGATAGAAAACAAGCTTTAAAAGCAGTTTTCCCGTTTCAAGAAAAAAACAAATGATTCAAAATTGGGGACCCCTGCAGTAGCCTTCTTCACATTTCTCGTTTATTAGGATTCTTTTTTTAAATAAATTAGCGATTGATATTATTTTTTAAATTATTATAATAATTTAATTAATAAAATAATTTTATTATTGGTGATATGAAATTATTTTATTTTATTAAATTATTAATTTTTTTATAATTAAAGATAATAATTTTTGTATTATTAAAAATTAAATATTATTTTATTTAAAAATATCAAAATAATCATTCATATTATAATAATTATATAAATTAATGAATTTAATATTATTTAAAAATAATAATTTATATATAATGTATTAATAATATTTTATTTACTTCATAATAAATATAATTAAATTATTGAACTAGAAATATATTTATTGTTAATAAATTAGTTTTTATAATATAAGTTATGTAAAAAATATTTAAATTAAAAAATAAATTTGATATATTAAAATCAAAAGATTATATTATAAATAACTTTTGAAAATAAAAAAATCACACAAAAATTTTTGAATTTATTATAATAAATGTTAGTTTGAAAATATAAAAATTATCATATAAAATAATAATAATTAATTTTAATAAAAAGTAAGTTTTTTATTCATATATTAAATGGATAATATTTTTTATTCATATATTAAATGGATAATATTGATTATTATTAATTTTACATATCATTGTACTTTAATGATAAAAATTTTTCATCGTTTTATATATGAATTAGATTATTCTCGAATACAATGATCTAATCACTTTTGTTTATTAAATATCACTGCCGTATAATATCACTAAGTAGTTACCAAACATGATGTTTTAATCATCTTGATTTTTTGAATAATCAATTCATACCAAATACTATCTAATAGTAATTCATTTACTATGACTTGGTACTAGGGTTTGGTTTTTTTTTTATGTTGATATTTTATAATTTTGCCTCTTCTTAATCTTTCTTCCTTTGCTTTGTAATTAAATTTATTGATCCGTATATTTGTGTCATATAAAATATTACTAATTCATATATTTATATTATATTATACAAAAAAATGACATATTGTAATTTATGTTAAATTGAAAATTTCAAAAAATATATATTTTTTTTATTAAATTTATATATGATTTTTTAAAAATTTTAACTCGTATCACTTTAAATTTTTTTTTTTCATTTCACTTTGTACTATTACACCATATCATGTTTTAAATTATCAAATTTACTTGCATTATAAAATATACATATATTGGTCTATAATTTTTATAAAGCCCCTTTAATAATTTTTTACATATAAAAAACTTTAAGAACAAAGGAATAAATTATAAATATTGTGATTTGAATTTTAGATCTTTTAGATATTATCTTTTAAAATTAATTATATGAATCAATTGAATTAAATTTTATATTCAATAATTTCTTTAATTAACAAAATTTTTTATGTTTCCAAGTTATTAAAAAAGATTATTAAGAAAGTTTTTATCAACACACATGATCATAGTTATCAAAACTGAAACAGACATTAAAACGTTTAAGGTTTCTGGTCACTAGATTAATGATTCAATCATCAACTCAATTGAATCAATTATCAGTTCAATAAAAAATATTTTAAAATTTTAAAATTCAAACTTTTAACTTGAGTTATAATTTAATAATTTAACCATAAAATTATAAATTTTAAGATATATCATAAACTACAAAATGTTAAAATATAAAATTCATAAAACAATTAATTACTAGTTAGAAATAAAATTCCTTAATATTTTATTAAAATCATATTTTATATTTTAATAGTTAGAAATAATATTTATATTTTAATAAATAAAATAAATAATAACTAATAAATAATTATAAATAATTATTATTTATATTTATTAAAATATAAATATTATTTATTAATATATAATAATTAATCTTTATGTAATAAAAAAGAAATATCTATATATAAAATTAATAAAAAGGAAATATTTATGTTTATATGAAAATTAGTAAAAGGGAAATTAAAATCATTTTTATATTTTTTATATGAATATAGATTATTTTATTAATTTCACATATATACATTTTTTTATTAATTACTTTCTACCATAGTCAAATAATTAATCATTTTTATTAACATTTCATTTTTTAATAATTTTATATATTATTAATTTTATAATTATTTTTAATTATAGTATCAATTAATAAAAAAAAATTTTGTTAGATCAGTTTTTTAAATTTATTTATTTTTACACGTGTAAGTTTTTTTGCAATATTACTATCTATATATCTCAAAATATGTTAATAAATCATTAATATAATGATATAAGGGTTTTAATAATAAAAAATAAGAGTTGAGAGGCTTATTTAGATGAAATAATAGAGATGCTTATTTAGATGAAATAATAGTATAAGGACTTAATTAGATTATTTTGAATACTTGAAGAGTTTTTTTCATATTTAACTTAAACTTATTAGTTAGTATTGAATTAGTCCGATTTTTTTTTTTTAAAGAACCGTTACGATTTACTGGTTTATTATATAAACCATCGATTCATAACGATTTACAGTAGTTTAATTGTAAAATTGATCTAATTATAAAATTGAATCAGTTTCAATACCGATTCATCGGTTCAACCAGTCAAACTGACGATTCAATCTGATTCTAATAACTATGCACATGATTCAAAAAAATATATATTGTAGTTATGTGTGACACAATGTAGTTTCATATATGGATTTTACACTTAATATTTTTTTACCTAAATGGTCACTTCATGACGACTTACACATGGTTATTTAGTTAGTCACATTCTATCTTTGAATTATAAAAGTTGGGGTTAAACCAAATAGATACTAGATTCACCACTCAACTCTATTTGACTTTTTTAATTATTCCTTACTCTCTTTTACCTTTTTCACTTTTGTATATTTTTTATGATTTGAGTCTTCAAATATGCCTTAAAGTGTTATTTCTATATTTAATATTTAATAATTCATGTATTTGTATTACATAAAATATTAATAATTCATATATTTGTGTTATATTTTATACGAAAATTACATATCATAATTCATATCAATATCAAAATACAAAATTATTTTTTTATTAAACTCATATATGATTTTTGTTAAAATTTTAAACCTTATCACTTTCATGTCATATCAATGTATCAAGTTTTAAATTATCAAATCTAATTATCTTTAACATTCTTAACTTTTTTTTATAAATCACGCTTGACGTCACTCTTAATCAGGGTTGACAACCTAGCCCGCCATCGACAAGTTCCGACCCGACCCAATCTCATAGAGTTTTAAATAGAATTTCGAATCAGGTCAGATATTGCTAAAAAAAAATCAGGGTCGGGTCAGGTTTGAGTTTTAGGCAAACCTAACCCGACCCGATGTTATATAAAAATTATTTTTTTAATTATTTTATTTATATATATTTATATAATTATATATTTACATATTTATATTTTAAAAATAATATTTTATTAATTTCGAGTTGAATCGAGTTAGGTACGATTTATACATTATCAGGTCAGATCAAGTTCGGATATGAAAAAAATAAAAAAAATTTATGTCGGGTACGTGTTTGGGTTTGATGAATATAGAGTTGGGTCAGGGAGAACAAAAATCCATCCCGCCTCGACTTGACCCGTTGTTAACCCTACTTTCAGTGTCCAACAACTTCACAATCATTAAATTAAAAAGTTATATCAACAATATTAATTATGCAATTAATACAATAAAAATTAATTTTTTTAAGATAAATTTCATTCAAGTCTTTTCAATTTTGAGTATAATTCAACATAAATTTATTAGTTTGATAAATTTCATTCAAGTCTTTCATTTTTTAGCATAATTCAACATAAATTAATTAGTTTGAAAGATGAACAATTCATGCCAAACTTTTTAATTTCACAAGACAAGTAAGTTATTCCATTAGTTATTTCGTTAGTTATTCATTAAATACATTGTTTAAAAATCATTTTACTTCTAAAAATCAATATTCTCAAATACTTACATAAAGTCATATTTTATAATAATAAAATTTATTTTTCTAAGAATATATCAATTTTATAAATAATTAAAAAAAGATTTTTTAGATGCAACATTTATAAAAACAAAATTTATAATTATAAGTATGTTAATATGTAAATATATATAAAACAAAATGGAGATATTAATGATGTGTTTAGTACATAAAATTATGATATGATAGGATAAAATGAATTATGAATAGGATTGTATTAAATATCGTTATTTTATCATGTGTTTGATATGTGTAAAGATTAAGATAAGATAATTTATTTATTTATCAAAATTATCCTTACTCAAAGTTTATATAATTTAAATTATTGATATAATTTTAAAAGTATAATCTAACATATAAGTTCGATATCATAAATTAAAAATAATTCTCTTTACTTTGAAAAAATTGAATTATTTTATACCAAGAGAATGATTAATACTCCTTATAATCATATCCATTTCTTTAAATACAAACGAAACATAATATAAGATTACTATCATCATATTCTATCCATTACCTTATGCACCAAACATGACCTAAGTATGTAATATTATTTTGTATGTAACAATTAAAAAAAAAGAAAATGAAAGATATAATATGAAAAAAGATTTGGTTAAAAAAAAAAGAAAAATAGATCATAATTGAATATTTATGAATTTGGATTTAGTTGTTATCTACTCATATATATGTTAAAATTAAATCTACATGTTTATGAAAATATACCGATGACAAACTTATTCATTTTAATTTGAAAATCATTTATAATAATTAAATTCAAGTTAAAGAATTTTAATATTTAAATACAAATAATTTTCGTTATTATATATACAATAAATATATAGAATAAATAATAATATATAAATAAAATAAATTTAGGTTTGAAGGGTTGTTTTGTAATTGTTTAAATTATGTT